ATCCACATTTTGGAATGAAGACATGCTTATTCAATTCAAGACCAAATATCTGATCTAGCCGAAAAGCCTACGATAAATAAATTTACATGTATAGTTTTTTTTCATTTGGGACTGATTGTCAGTTTTCCTGGAAGAAGAATTCTTTACAAAGAAAAGGCGCGAATCTGCCCACCTGGATCTTTACATCACCCACGTCCAGGCCAGAGGGCTTAGGAGGTTCGGAGGCTGGAGGACACATTGCATTTAAGAAGGAAGGATAAGAAGAATTCTGATTGTTACAAGTCTCAGTATTTGGATTAATCGGGCCTGTAGAAACAGAAACGCTAGACGGGCTTTTCACAGAGTGGGAAGGCAAATCGCTGCTTTGACTCGAGGTACCAGGTTTGGAATGATGCGGCAGTATCGTCTGTCCACGGCGCCGCCTTCTGCGTCGGCAAAATGGCGCATCATGAGTATGCTCAGTGTCATCTGTGACCATAAAGGCTTCTTCGTCGTCATTGTGTGGAATAGTTTCATTGACACCAGACTGCGTTGCAGGCCCTTAAAATTAGTAGGTTGCAAGAATAATCGAAACATGCGAATAACATCAATATGATTCAGAGCATGTCATTAAGGAATATGCACTAAAAATAGTATATAGTAAAAAGTATTGCTTTTGTTATTTGACTAATATTCCCAATTAATAGCAACTTTATAAAGCGAACGCATAATTTTTTGTCCAACTAAAATCGTATATGAGATATTGCTTTCATATTAGACCATGTTTAGACTACATTAAATAAGCCAATTTCTTAGATCATGTTGAAATAAATTTCTGAGATGAATACTGAAGAGAATGAACGTAAACAATAGGCTTGAGATAGTTAAAAGGTTATCATTACAAGGTAGTGTCTTGGATAATTTATTAATGTATAACAGGCTCAAAATCGTAATTCGTTGATGTCTAACCAAGTTTTAAGTTATAAGATATCTCCAACAGCTATAATTAGAAACTCAAACAAATAAATTAAGACCGTAGGAATAAAAGAGCTGTAAGAGTGAATATAAGAATGGCAATATTTCTGAGTAATTGAGTCACGAAGAATCTCTATCATATAAAAAGTGGTACATAGGATTCCCCAATTAACCACCCCATCAATCATGAGGGGCGAGAGAGCGAGTAATCATATTCGAAGCTAATAAAAGCTTCTCGCTTGACGATTCTTCCCTTAACTCTATCTGACATCTGCAAGTAGTTCATAAACTTCCATATCTATTCAGGATGCTAATGTTTTGTTAAATACTTCATATTCTGTAAAACTAGTGACTATTCTATCTTTAGACAATTATAGCAGTGTACTCAGCCAATTCCGATTTTCGCACTCCGAACTCTTTTCGGGTTTTTTATGCAGATGAACCCTTTATGGTTAAGCAGGCCTCAACTATCTATGGATTTAAGAGAATCATACAGACTCTACTGTGCTGCCAAAAAGTAAACTACTAGTTGTCCATAAACCAGAAAAATAATTTGGGCTAGAAAGGCTTCTAACAGCACTCAAAATCCAGTATTTAACAAAGAGCTATTAATGGTGACACCTAGAACTTTACCTTAACTCGCGCCAGTTCAGTGGTGCATCTCTGTGCGTTAAAATAAGTATCTCGGCCCAACGGATAATCCACGGAAATTTCATAAGTTTTACACTCCAATAACCAGGTCTGCACGATACAAAATTGTAATTCCAATGAAGCCAATTTACTGACCAAATCTTCCTCGGCGTAAAAGCCGCATATGCATAATGATAAAGTAGTTTGGACCTCCGATGGCAGGAAGATGGTGCTCACTCAGAGTAAAAGCCAAAGCAGAGTCCTTAAACAACTGTGTCTTTGAGTCCGCGTCTGCAGCACTCTATTCACCCCTCATCAAAAAAGAAGATTTTGGTCAGACTGATATCAACGACGCATATCAGTGTTAGGCCTATACTCAGCATCTTAATGTAACACTTTGCCTTTTCCCTCTTTCATTCTTCTGTTACTGTTCACTCCCTAACAAGCTTTTGTACGTACGAACAGTTCTGCCTTACCACTAGCTAAATCAGTACACATGAATATATAGATCCATTTTACTACACTATTCATTCGTTTAAATTGTCAATCGGCCCA